TTGATTTATAAATTCACGTCTTATAAATAAGAAAAAAAAAAATAATATAATGCAAAAAGTGTATTCGTGTAACGATCGAGAAAAATAAAAAATCCATCTTGAGAGAGTTTGCACGGTGAGGACTCGGAGGACAACTCCTGGGAGTTACTATATAGTTTCTGTAGAAGACTTTCTAACCCCTCGCAGTAAAACCCTCTTCTTTTTTCATTTCTCTTATTCTTGTTCCCCTTTCTTCGCCCCCGTATCTTTATCCTCGTTTCTCCCAGCCCAGGATCCAGGGGTTACATTTTACGTCTATTTTATTCTTACATCTTCTACTTTTCTTCTCTGGTTCTTCCCCGGTCGTCGGGGTTAAAAAAAGCCCGGTCGATACTCGGAGATAAAAGTAAAAAATTCTTATTCCCTTCCATCTACATCCTCGACTTATTTAATAAAAATATTATTTTCAATATTAGAAATATAAATATATAAATCCAGGCAAAGTCGACAATTTATATACATACTCTTACCCAGATAATGATTAATCAATTTATTGATCTGTTGGCATTAATATGGAGGTTCAACAATCCCCAAATAATTAATCTAAAGTCATCGATATGACTACGTCATATGAAAATTCTGTACCAGTTATATTCCACTTAATGTCACTCGTGTGCTCTTTCTCTTTTTATATCTCAGTCACCCAATTATACTTGTTTTTCGCGACTGGTGAGTTCAAGCTGTTCATAAAGTATATGAATAATTTACTTGGGATCAGATCCACCATCCACCTCTTCTCTGCTCTTCCTTCTATACTTTTAATACAACCTTGCAGTCACTATGTGACTGCTGTAACTTGTGAACTGTAAAAAATTTAAATTGTGCTTTATTAAGTAATGACTGTTGTTAAATTGTACTGTACTTTTTTAAATGTTGATGTTTTTAAAGATATAAGCTCATCCTGATGTTACACTCGTCAAAAGCTTTCATTTGAGTACCCACATACATTTTTGATATATTAATCATATATACATATATATAAATATATAAATATATGAAAAATTGATGTGGGTATTCAAACGAAAGGCCTCGATGAATGCAATGTCAGAGTAAGCTTATATCTTCAAATATATCATTACTTGACAAAATACAATGTCATTTCTTAATTATTGACATTTTCTAAGATATAAACTCATTTCGATGTTACACTCATCAAGACCTTTCATATGAGTACCCACATGGCATTTTTTATATATTTTATATATGGTATTTATGAAATATATATAATATATAAAATATATGAAAAATTGATGTGGGTACTCAAATGAAAGGTCTCGATGAGTGTAACATCAAGATGAGCTTATATCATTAAAAATGTCACTATTTCACTAGATACAAGGTCATTTCTTAATTATATATACAGAGATAATTTTCAAATGCAGCCTAAATACATCATAATAAATTTCCTATCTGTGAAAATGAAATAAAACCTTGAAAATGCACAAATTCCAAGACCTTTTCAATGACACTAATTTTTACTAAAAAAACCGACTATCCTAAAAACAAAATTTTTCTTATTCTCTTAATCATATATTCATATTTAAAAGCCTGAAAAAAATAACGAGAGAGTATTTTAAAAATTCAAGATTAAAATTACGTGAAAGAAGAAATAAAATTTTATTAAAAAAGAAGAAAAAAATATTTAATATTGAAGGCAAAGATGTTGCTACGTAAAACTTGTCTTTCTCCGAGTTTGTAGAGGTAAATTTATTTTTCTCAATTTCTTTTTTTTTATTATTTTATTAAATTTATTTTTGGTTGTTATTTTTGAGAAGAAATAGAGAGAAAAAAGAAAAAGCTCTTAGACTCTGTGAGAAGAAGGAGTACTGAGAGAGGAGAAAAGTTGAAGTGAAGAAGGTCGATAACGCTGGAAAAAGGTAAAAGCCAAGAAAGAGAAGGAGAAGGACAGTGGGTGGACGAGGAGGCGAGAAGTGAAAGAGGCGAAGGAGGAAGCTGAGGAAAATACTTTAAGAGATGGGCAAGGGGATAAGAGGGTGGAAGAGTGAAGTAGAGCTCAGCTGAAGAGAGAATCGGGAACTGGGAAGCAGAGAAGAGAAGAGAAGAGAAGCCCCGTGGCCTCGTACTCTCGGATAGGATAGGAGCTCTGACGCTAAACGACTAAGAAAAAAATTTCCGAGTACGAGTGACGGAGATAGAGAGGATAAAAAAAAACCCGGTGAGGAACAAAAAACCTCGGTGAGGGAGATGAGTAAGAACGGGAGAGATATAAGTTGCCAGGATCCGAAAGCTGAACGGTGAGAGACAAAGGAAAGAAAGAAAGAACGAGAGACTGAAAGAAATAATAAAGAAAGAAAGTATAAAGTGAAGCGAGTATGGCTGGTGCTTCTGCTGCTTGGAGATAAAAGGGGCCAGAGGGGTTATGATGAGAAGGGTGAAGGGAAAAGGAAATAAAGAGAGTTGGGCGGAGAAGATGAAGAAGAAAAGGGGGCCACGAGAAAATACCGTCTTCGTCTTCGTTTATTCCGTTCTATTCTGTTCCATTCTTTCAGCTCTTCTACCTCTCTGTCTTGCTCTTTTATCTTCTACTTCGGGTCTCATCTCTTGTCTGCTATGTGCTTGCTTGCTTGCTGGTAATACCTCGCCGTTGGGAAGAAGAAACGCAAGGGACGTACAGAATAAATGGAAACGATGGAAACTTACATGTACGGCAACTGGAGAGGGCGAAAAACCAACCAACAAGGGAGAATAACCATTTATATCTATATATGTCTTCGTATGTGGGTATATATATGTATGGATGGATGTATATAGTCACCCTCGTTTTTGCAATAGAAAATACCTAAAGACAGAGATAGAGATAGGCTATGATCATCATCGCTATGTATCACGTTAAATTTTTATTATAAATTTACCTATCTTTGTTTCTTTGTTTTGGAATAGTGAAAAATAGTATGGATGTGTGTAAGATGGAAGATCCAAAATGGACTAGATATATAAATAGGGGAAAGGAAAATAAGGCAACCTAGAGACGATCTGGGCTTAGAGAACTGTATATGGATGAGAAAAAATTTATATAACCGAGGGTTGAAGGATACTGAATTGAAAGGCCAGAAACGTCACCATTTTTTTTGCCTTTATTCTTCCTATCCCCTTTTTCCGTCGAAAACAACATCAGCAAAAGCCTTTGCTATTTTCTTTTGATTATACTTTTATTTATTTGTAATTATTATTCCGGTTCATTTGTTTGTGTAGTTGGAATAACTTTTGTAGGTATGGAGATTTTTTATTTTTAAAAAATTGATTTTATTTCATTTATGTCTCAAGTATAGTTGTATTGAATTTTTTCTAAGATGTAGAAGGATGTGATGCAGTAATTGAAACTAAATTATATTAAAAATTAAAATTTTGGTTTATTAAATAATGACTTTGGTTAAATTGCACCGTAGTTTCTTAAATATTGACGTTTTTAAAAATATAAACTCATACTGATATTACATTCATCGAGAACTTTCATTTGAATACCCGCATGCATTTTTGATATATTTTTCATAGATACATATATATAATATATATAAATATATAAAATATATGAAGAATTGATGTGGGTGCTCAAATGAAAGGTCTCGATGAGTGTAACATCAGGATGAGCTTATATATTTAAAAATGTCAATATTTCACAAGATACAAGGTCATTTTTTAATTATGTATCTACAAATAGAGCCGAAACATTTATAATAAATTGTCTATCCACGAGAAAGGCACAAATTCCAAGACCTTTGCAACGACACTAAATTTAACTAAAAAAATCAATTTTAAATGACTATCCTAGAAACAAAATTTTTCTTATTCTCTCAATAATAAAGATTTAATTTTAAAAAAATTTCCATGTCATATTAAAAAATTTAATTTTGCTAGACATTTACATAAAGAAGATGAAGAATAATAAAAAATTGCAAAATGGAAATAAAAAGCAAGTGTTTATCTGAAAGAGAAGCAAATAAAAGAGAAATGGGACAAGTGAATGCATTGGACTTTAGCATCAGGAGAGACAAAAATACAGAGAATAAAAATGGTGAATAAAGACCGAGAGAATAATATAAAGATTGAAGAAATTGTATGTGATGGTAAATGTAACTGAGAACTCAGGTGTAGGAAGAATATTGAGAGTTAAGTAACAGGGAGAGAATATCTCTTGGGTATGTTTGTATAGGATCTTTACTTGAGTTTTCAGACTGGAGATTAGAGTCTGGTTCCATTCCTATGCTCACGGCATCTCTGCACAAACACCAGTTTAAGATGATAACATGTAGAAGAGAGGAGAATGGAATAATACAGAGAAACAAGGCAGAGAATGAGAATGAGAATGAGAAGATAGGAGGAACTGAAATCGAGGAATGAAGAGTGACTATACCACGCTATCTATGTGTGTAATGTAATAAAATGAATAAATATAAGTAAGCCGAGTATGTGAAGTGAGTATGTAGAAAAATAATGTAAGAGATAAAAATAAATAATAAATGATGCTTAGGAGTCAAGAGAGAGAGAATATAAGTATCCGTTATCGTGAGTCGTCTAAGCAGCTGATAAAAGTCCGTATGCCGACGGACAGATAACGCAAATAGCCCGTATAAAGAGAGTCGCATAGATAGAGACTGATAAAATACGGTTCACAGAACAGGTGAATATCGCGATTCAGACCAACGCCCGTTTATAATATTTATAACAAAAAAGTGGTTAATAATTCCTTAAACAAGTGCGCTCTCTGTTATTTTTTTTGTTAAATTTATTAATACTCGTTTAATTATTCTTGAATATTTAATTTAATGTCCAGTATTTTTTCTTCTATAAAAATAGATTTTTTTTAACGTTATAAAGGTCATTTTTTAACGATATCTTCTTTACCGACTGGAAATCAGGATTTTTTTGTTTTTTTAGATAATTATGTGAATTATCTGACATTTTTTTGTTTGTTTGTTTTTATTATCAGTGATTATAATTTAATGGAGGCTGCTAGGTACTGGGGTGTTCATTACAGGTAATAGATTGCTTAATTTTTAGAAGAAAAGTTCAAAGAAGAAATAATTAGGGAAGAAATATCTATTTTTTATTTTTAGGCGATAAAATAATTACTTATTTAATGGATTTTATTTGATTGAAAAAAAATTGGGTCAAGTTGAATATTTCTAATCTTTAAGTATTTTGTGAGTCATGATTTTGTTTGGGATTGCAATTTATAAAATTTTTGAAAATATAAATATTAATAATTTTTTGTTTTTCAGCGGAGGGATGGCCGGGCAGCATTACTGCCTGAGGTGGAACAATTACCAGTCGAATATGACCTCAGTATTCCACCAGCTTCTGCAAACGGAGGCTTTCGTGGACGTAACACTGGCCTGCAACGAGGCATCGTTAAAGGCGCACAAGGTAGGCAAGTGTGCTATTAAAAAAAAGAAAAAAAATAGATTACGGATTATTGTGGATGACTTATGACACATATTCTTCCTACTATAACTAATTCCATCAACAAAACTACGATAACGATCTTATCAGAGTGACGCAACTCGCGAATAAGCTTTACAATAATAATCTATGTTGTTTTTAGGTCGTACTGTCAGCATGCAGTTCGTACTTTAAAAAACTGCTCTTGTCGAATCCTTGCAAGCATCCTACGATAATTATGCCTCAGGATGTGTGCTTCAATGATTTAAAGTTTATTATCGAGTTTGTTTATAAAGGAGAAATTGATGTCTCGCAAGCAGAACTTCAGGTAAGATATTTCATTATTTTATTTTAAAAATTTTTAATTTTAAAAAATATTTTAATGCATTTTTTTTTAACATTAAAATTATTATTTTATTATTGTAATTTTATTAAAGAACTAAAAAATGCATTTAAATTATTTTTAAAATTTTATTCTTTTAAATTAAATTTAAAATGATAAAATTCTTATGATATTGAAGTTGGCACATACTTAAAAATTTTTTTAGAAAATAAACCAAGTCTAGAAAATTGTTTTTAAAAAATTATATTTATAATTTTTTTTTTTTGCTATAATTTATTTGTAAATTCTTCTAATTCGTATAACTACATCATTACAAATAAAAATTTTATTCAAAAAACTCAACATCTAGATTAAAAAAAAAATGCAGATTTTTTAAAAGTAATTTTTTAATAAAAATAAAATTGTCAGATGTCAGCTGATTTTAGTTTTATAAATTATAACAAATCTGACAACTGTCAAAATCAGCTTATAATTTTTTTTATTCTATTTATAATCATCGCAAATATATTAGATAATTATTTTATTTGATATTTTTATTCCAAAAACATTAAATGACACTTATATTATTCTATATTAAAAATTTTAATTAATAAAAATTAATTTAGCATACATTTAAAAATTTTTATGACAAATAAATTATGTCTAAAAAAAATTGACATTTAGAAATTTTTAAAAAATAAAAAAAAATGCAATTTTTCTTAAAATAAATATATCAAATAATTTTCAATTTACTGCTTATTTATTGATAAAAATTAAAGTAGCAGATATTTAATAATTTTTAGAACTTTTTTTAATAAAAATTGCAATTTTTTAAATATAATTTTTTAGAAAAAATTTGTTTGTTAAGGGCCAGTTTTTCAATCCGAGATAAAATTTTATCCGAGATTAAAGTACTGCCAATATAATAATAGAAATAAATAATTCAGCACAGTGATATTGTGTACAAGTAGTTCTTCCTGAATTCAGTCACTTATTTTAAATTAAAATAAATAAATATTAGCCGTATATCACAAAAATATTAATCTCCAACTGTGACAACTTGCTGATTGTTAATAAATAAAATAAAAATTAGGAAAACGGATGATCCTGGAGGCCATCTCTGTAACTTCCCGTTAATTCTATATCTAAGCGCTTAAAATTGCACTTGTAACGTTATCGAGCTTTTCAAGCTCCAAATTACAAGTTATGTGTAATTTTGAGCTCACCGAGCCTAAAGCGGTCGCTGTTCTATGTTTTTTAGCTCTTCGAGCTCATATCTTGCGTTTGACATATCTATTATTAATCTATAATTGTGTTAATTAATTTAAAACAATTAAATGACACAATAAGAGGGTTATTATTATTTTTATTGATGTATTTATTTTTTATTTGAATAAATGATCAAATTCATGGAGAACTAACTGAGAACAATATCACGTCGCTAAATTATTTATTTTTTTTTTTTTATCATATTGACAGTACTTTATCTTGGATAAAATTTTATCCCCGATTGAAAAACTGGCCCTAAATAAAATTAAAAAATTCTCTAGCGACTGCTAACTTTAATGTCATTAAAAAAAAACAAACCCGCGCAAAAAAATTCAAATTTAAAAATTTTCCCGCGCATAAATATTCGCAAAACCGCAAACTTCATTACCAACAAACCGCCATCTTAAAAAGCCAGTTTCATCCCGCTGGTCGGTAACATCCGACGACAGATAACCAAAGGTACAGATTTAAATTCAGTGAGCAAACACCAGGCGTTTGGCAATCACCTTGTCGCGTCTCTCTCTTTCCATCCAGAATCCAACCAATCCCTTTTTATCCACCGGATCCACTTTGTTCAGTAGTTTTTTAATCGTAAATAACACGGTGTACTAGCACGGTTAGGTGAAGAAAATCTATCAAATTCCCGGCTTTTATCTTACCACCGAACAAAATAAAACCACCTTTTGTGCTCTCTCCCCAAAAAATCAAGGAGAAAAATCACATACATAGGAAGACCAGCTAGCCGTCAGTTAGTTAAACAAGTACGTAAATATAAATAAAAATTTTTCTACTGTAATAAAAAGTCTAGAGCTCGAAAACGTGCATCGTAAATAAAGGTTAGTCATGCTTGATCGCAACTCATCGTCGCTCTAATTTTAACTGGTATGTTTATCCATTTAATTAACAATTAAATTAAGTAACTCAATTATTAATTACTCTTAATTACAGATCTCTAGTCCAGTAATAATTAATTAAAATTAAAATTAATAAATAAAAAATTCAAGGTGGCATTTAATTTTAAAAAAATGGCATTTAAATTTCCTGTGAGGGTAATAAAAAAAGTTGCCGGTTTTTTTGGAATTAATAGTAACTAGAGAGAGAGAGAGAGATAGAGAGAGCCGTCGTGGTAGTCGTCTCGTGACTCTCGCGCCTGGTTGAAATCAATAAAAGGACAGTCTTCGACCCCCATCTCGTTAGGACGCATTGTTCGGCAATCAGGCTACTCTGCGCGAGCTTACAGGGGCTCTCAAATCACTTCCCTTTCTTTTAAATACTATTTCACCTTTTTGCACCTAACCGGCATATAGCAATACAACCTACAACCTCTTGCCACGGGTGTCAACTATAAACAGAAGAAACTTTGAGATACTTTTTTATTTCTTCTTTAAAATTTTCTCTATGAAGATATGGGTAAATATATTATATTGAGAATTTAATTCACGTTCGAAGAAAATCGAGTCAATGATCTCGCCTCTGTCTCACTTATGCCAATGACGGGATATATTTATATATGTGTAGAGGAATAATAACAATGATAATAATAATATAACGTCGCGCGCACGCACTACGTCCAACGTCTCCGATGTACTTAACTTATACTGGTTGTGTAATTACGCAACCGATTGACATCGGACAATTATTAAATTTATGGGTTATTTATCAATTATTCTTTTGGTTTTAACAACAATAGTTTTTTATTTATTTTTATTTAATAATAAATAGCAAAAATTTATTTTATTACTTAAGTTGGCAAATTTATTTAATCAAAAATAATTTTTTTATTTTTTTAATTAAATATTCGAAGTTATTTCAATTTTTTCAAAAATTGGATTTTAATAATTTTTAAAGAAAATGTTTTAAAAAATTTTTTAAGTAATGTCTATAATTTTTTAAAAATTTAATTTGTCAGAAAATTCAATTTTAATCATTTTTAAAGAAAATATCTAAAAATTCATTATTCTACAAAACTAGCAACCTATAAATAAATAAAATTTTGCTTTGTTAAATAATGACTTTTGTTAAATTGCACTGTACTTTCTTAAATATTGACATTTTTAAAGATATAAGCTATTCCCGATGTTACACTCATCAAGAGCTTTCATTTGAATACCCACATGCATTTTTGATATATTTTTCATATATACATATATATAATATATATAAATATATAAAATATATGAACAATTGATGTGGGTATTCAAATGAAAGGTCTTGATGAGTGTAACATCGGGATGAGCTTATATCTTCAACAATGTCAATATTTCACAAAATACAAGCTCATTTCTTAATTATGTGTCTAGTACATAAAGATTATTAGTAATATAAATTATTTAAAAATTGAATTTTAAAAGTCAAATTTCAGAGAAAAATATTTTAAAAATATTTTTTTTAAACCAAGTATTGTATAGAATTTTCAAAAAATTAAATTTCAAAGGTAAAATTTAGATAATTTGTAAAAAATCAAAAAAAAATGGCCAAGTCGAAAAAATGTTGCTAACAATCTCAGCTGAGCGCATCACGTGTTCCAAGGACTGACCTTGAAGAATCCGACACACATGAGGGCTGTGTTGGTGTAATCTACAGTGTCTTTTCTTCCCCCAGCTGAACCCGTGTCGGGACTATCGGATAGTAGAGAGTAAGAGGAAGGAAGACTGGTTGGTCTGGTGTGTCTGTAAGAGGGACAGCGAGAAAGAAAAATAAAAGAAAAGAAATAGAGAAGAAAGGAAGGAAATAAGTAAAAAAAAAAAAGTATCAGAAGGCAAAGTTGCCTGTGGCACGGTTGAAAAATACCTCACCCGTATCGTTATCTCGCTCTTGCTCGAGGTAGTCGGTGCATTAACTTTACAGTCCGATGTGAACCTCTGATCACACTCTTTCATTTATACATTTGTATTTTCCAGAGTAAGACTGAGACACGCTTAACAATAAGTGCCCGAGATGAGAATAGGAATCAAAATAAAGATGGAAAAATAAAGGACGTGACCCGGTTCTTCTTCACGTCATCTATCCAATTTCTTTATGTACTTCTTCTTGAAGACTTTCAATCGTTTTTATTTTTGTAAATTATTTGAGTGTATTTATTGTACAATAGAGTTGTCGAAAAAATTGGTAGCAAGAAATTCCGGTGACCTGGTTCTGGCCGGCTTAAACTCGGACACCTGACCAGGAACTTGAGAGATCACCGGTCTTGTGTTCTCTTTCTTCATCTTCGCTCCATTCCTACTACACTACTTACAGTGGTTTCTCGTGTAGTAAGTGGGGATCTCGAGAAGGCTACGTCCGAGGATACCGTTCTACAGACCTTGAACTCTCTTTACACCGTAAAACCGTAAAGACGAGTATCCTCTCATCTCACGTCTTATATCTTCGACTCTTATGGCTTATATCTACTACTTCAGATGATTTTTATTTTATAGATAGCAACAAGTACTTGTTTTATGTCGCAAGTAGGAACTGAGTTTTAGACTTAGTCTTTGCTCATTTTTAGGGTTTTAATTTTTGGAAGTGAATTTTGAGATTTTAGGAAATTTTATTTCTTTCTAATAGATATTTATTTTCTTTAAAATAATAATAACTAGCAACCTTGCAATCACTATGTGACTACCGTGACTTGTGAAATATAAATAAATAAAATTTTGGTTCAACAAATAATGACTTTTGTAAAATTGCACAGTACTTTCTTAAATATTGACGGGTTTAAAGATATAAGCTCATCCTGAGGTTACACTCATCAAGAGCTTTCATTTGAGTACCCACATGCATTTTTCATATATTTTTCATATATACATATATATAATATATATAAATATATGAAAAATTGATGTGAGTACTCAAATGAAAGGTCTCGATGCGGGTAACATTGGGATGAGCTTATATCTTTAAAAATATCAATATTTCTCAAGATATATGATTAAGAAATGACCTTGTATCTTGTGAACTATTAACATTTTTAAAGATATAAGCTCATTTCGATGTTACCCTTATTAAGAGCTTTCATTTGAGTACCCACATGCATTTTTGATATATTTTTCATATATACATATATATAATATATATAAATATATGAAAAATTGATGTGGGTACTCAAATGAAAGGTCTTGGTGAGTGTAATGTCAGAGTGAGCTTATATCTTCAAAAATATCATTACTTGACAAAATACAATGTCATTTCTTAATTATTGACATTTTTTAAGATATAAACTCATTTCAATGTTACACTTATCGAGACCTTTAATTTAAGTACCCACATGGCATTTTTTTATATATTTTATATATATATGGTATTTATGAACTATATAGATATATAAAATATATGAAAAATTGATGTGGGTACTCAAATGAAAGGTCTTGTTGTAAAAAATAATTATTTTACGTAATATTCATCTCGTAAAATTGTACTCCAAGTTTACTGGCTTACTAAGAACAGGCTGAGCTCCTATAACCGGTGAATATTAAAAACTTATCATCCAGCTTTTAAGTTTGGGTTTAAAAATTAAGTACCGGTACTACAGAGTGCAAACTAACATGTTCCCGGCTACCAAATAATGCAAGCCATTTTGTATAACCCCTTTAGCCGTCTCCCTGGGGAAGCGTTGAATATACATCAGGCACACACATTCGCTCACATATATGTAGATGGATCCGAACAATGGCGAATCCTGAGATGGAATAATTAATGTTTCCTACATTGACTGTACCTCTGGTTACCGGACT